TTTGATGATTGGTTTCAGTTGGTGATCTGTTTGCTCATGTTAGAAAGAAGCAGCCTTGGGAAGATCCAAACATTGTTAAGGTAAATAAGTTAAAATAACTCACTTTTCTTCTTTTATCCATCTTTTTATTATAAATTGATTATTATCCTTCATGTTTCTTCCACCAGAGCCTTATACATTCAAAGGTATATGCTTTAGTTGGTGAAAAAACTGCAGCAGATAATGAGAAGGCTGTAAAACAGAAGAAAGAGAAGCCTGTTAAAGTAGAGGTGCGTATTATACTAAAAAAAACATAATAGAAAGGCTTGTGGATGCTACCTCTTTACTCTCAGTTTTCTATTTCAACAACTGGATGCCTCAACTAAAAAACTTCCTAATAATGATTTTTCTTTTTTCTTTTCTTTTTTCTAATCTTCATCCGTCATCTTAGTGTAACCAGCACCACATACACCAAAACTATACAGATCTAACAAAATTTTTTAAAATAAATTTCTAGCATGGAAGAGATTGTAGACGCTTCCGTGGTTCGCGAGAAGGAAAAAGGACTCATCCTTTGTTGCATCTGGCGTGAGATGATAAAGATAGAGCTTCGTGGACGTTTCGGTTCTTTCCGTTCTTCCAGTTTTAGTCACCAATGGTTGGGTATCAGATGACTTATGTAATGTATTTGTGCAACAATTGAAATAATATTTATCAACCATATATCAATAGTATCCATAAATGAATGATTGTCATTTGAAATTTATTGGTTGATGTCATGATTGTTACAGTTTGTTGGGAATGTCCACAGATCCGTTCATAATGTTTTCGCATATATAGAACTTACCAGGTTAATAGTTAACTGGCATTGGTTTTTATATGTTTTATTATTGGATTTTACTTGCATTGATTTGGGACTGGCACTGACTTGTGGATGCAGGTTACAGTAATTGTGGGAAATATCGAGCTACACAGTGACCTTAATCTTCATTTTCCAGACCAGGTATTCTCATGATTTCATAATTACATCATCTGTTTTTTTATTATAATTTTTATTAAAGTTGAATGTAAGTCTTAGTGTTTACCTGCTGTTAGGTGAAGGAATATGGGGTTTTTTCCAGCAGACCTATTGGTATTTGCATCTACAAATCCAGCTGGCATTTTATATATGGTGAAAGCTTCTGAATTCAAAGGTATATGTTGTATTCAGATGGGGTTGTCCCTCAATATTGTTGTTAAATGGAATGTCGTGGCAGTGTGTTCTAAATCTTCATAACACTATTACTGTCAAACAAATTTATGTAAATTCAGAATTTATTTAATTTGTAATTTTGTATTAACCTGTTCAAACTTTCTACAAAACAGAAAAGAGCGAAAATAGATGACCACATGGAGGATTTACCCGCTAGAAATCATTATAAAGAACAAGTAATTGTATTGGACAGAAGGTATTCAGAGATTAAATGTGGAAACTTTTGATTGGGAAATCTGGATTAAGAGGTATTAACATTTTTCTTACCCTTCTTCGTTTACTTAAACCATTTATTTATTATTTTTTTAAATTTACATGACGTTATGGAATTTTAGGGATCTTGAATTGCATTACATGCCAACAAATGATCTAAGTGGTTGGAAGAACCATGTGCATTCCATAATATTTTTGAGGATTTAATGCGAAGCTAAAAAATCTCTTATTATTATTACTATTTTGGATAGACAGATAGTTGTTTCGATCAACAAAGGAAGAGAACTATTAGAACTTTTTTTTATTATAACCTATTGCATTTCAAATAAAGGGTAGACATGTCATTTATGCTATTGCTCATAGCAGCATAGGCATGGATGTTGCAAAACAGCTTTGACGTGAGGAGACTTGGAGCCAACAACTAATTACATGAAGAATTTTGAAGTAAGGGATCAGGTTGCTATTCTTTGTATAATGATTGCATTTTTATATGTGTAAAAAACAATCGTTTTCCCTGTTACTAACTCTTGCAGTTGGTTCTGATATAGGTGGTTTCATGCCAAGGAAAAAGGTTACTTTACGTTACAAAATTAGGGTTTTTTTTTAATAAATATTAATTTTTTTTTGGGAAATCGGCACACCATAGAAAATTATAAAGGCACCATTTTTGATATGGTTGAATTTGTACCGCTCTCTGACAAGCTATAACGAACACATGGTTTTAATTTACAAATCCTTTGTATTTACCTTTAATATGGGTTCGATGAGTCATTACATCATAGACTTCTAAGCGACTCCTCCACTAATGTTTACAGGTTTTTTGACATGCTATTATCACCGCTGCCAACTCAACAATTTGCTTACCTTTACAACATTGTACTTTGGAAGACCTCCAACGAATTGTAGTAATGAATTTTTTTTTTTGTTTTTTTGTTTTTTTGCATTTATTTCTTTAACCCTCATATAATTGGGTAGATCTATTAAAATAAAATAGGATGTTATACTAAGCAAATTTGCATTCGACTTTGTATATCCACATTTAATAAAATCATGTATTTTGTCGTTTAGGTATGACAATGAAGAACCGAACAAACTGCAACAATATTTCTGTTGTTGCTATATGCATTTCGTAAGTATGCCATGGGTTAGATGATGTTGGAATGTGGTAAGGAAATGCAAACCCTTTCAATATTTTCAATAATCTTTGTTTTTTTTTCAAGATTTTCATAAAAAAACTCATTTTTCAAAGTGATAAGAAAAAAAACCCTGCCGGTATGATTCAAAAATAAACAACCCAACAAAATCACATTGTTATATATCATGTATTTATGAACACCAGTTTAGCCCGATCCTAATATCATATTTCAATACAGTACCAAAAAAAATTTCTTAATTTCCTTATTTTAATACAATTGTTTATTACCGGTTCGTTGTCCACCTCCCCTTTGATTTTTTTTTCCGTTTTTTTTATTGCGGGAAAACAGCAACGTACTTAACCTCTATGCTTTAATTTTTACCCATAATAGCAAGTTACTTGGAATTTTCTATTGGTTATAGAAAATTTTAACATTTTGGTTTTCTCTTCGTTATGTCGCATGAGATCAAATGATCAATGTTTGTATGCAAAAGATTGGATGTGTGCAAGGAGGCTGAAGACAAGTTATTGTTGGAGAATATTGTAATGGTCACTTCCATTTAAAGTTCATTGCTTGCAATCGTTCAGAAGTTAATAATAGCATATGTTGTTTCTTCTGTTATCGCTTCAACAAACTACCTATTATGACTTTTTGTTGTAGAGCACTCTAAAGACTAAAGATTATGCGACTCCTTGGATGAAATTCGATTTTTAATCCGGTATCAATTTTTGATTTCCAGTTTAATGATACGTAGTCGGTTATTCATTAATTGTGTGTTTTTTTTTTCAACTTCAGGGCTCAAATTTGGATGAAATCGTTCAGTTTCAATTGTTGGAGACAACACATAATCTACAAACCCAAGATGCTAATGAGGTGGAAAACATAATTGTTGGAGTCAGTTTCAATTGTTGGGACAAAACTTCATGCTGCAGAAGGATCATCTTGCTAACAAATGAAGGATGTGATTTCTCTCTTTCGTGACATGATTTTTTGCTTCTCATGGTAAAGCATATTTGCAAAAAATATAATTATTATAGCATTTATTATTCTCTTGGTGTAAATTTTATTTGTCTTTTAGATAGATTCTGAAATGATAATTGAAAATCCGGACAAGTAATAAACAAACGAATGGACAACTCCCAAATAGAATTAGCTACAGGGCATAACAAAAAATCATAATAAATGTCATTCTCTCTTAACTTGAACATTATAGAAATTTTGTCACTTCGAATTACATATACAACCTGAAAGAAGAACAAATAAAATGACTCAGCGCCAACGGGCGCGCATGATTCCCATCTAGTTCTAGATAAAATCTTTGAAGGATTCAAACCGACATAGAAGAACACCTGTCATTAAACAAATCAATAGTAATTAGATGAAATAACTATTTGTGTTTTTCTTTATATGGTTAAAACTTTGTTTGTTTTTTTTTTTAACTTAAATCGTATGGCGAAAGTTGAAGATAAATTGAATGGATATGTTTATTTGTTTACGATAACCTAAAAGTTGAACGAACATAAATATATAAATGAATGGATTTTTTTTGCATGTGTTGGTTAAAATAATAAACGAAGATAAACTATTAAAATTTTTGATATATTGATTATATTTACTAGTGCTAATTTTGATAGTTTCTTAACAAATTTATAAGTTGTAATACTTAAATGATTCTATAAATTCTACTTTCAGTACTCCAATCATTTTTATAGTATTATATATAACGTAATATCATAACCAAACTTAATCCAATGTAAACAAACAAATATAACCAAACATTAATTGATATAAATAAATAAACAAAAAGTCTTATGTATATTCTTTTTAATTCATCTAACTAAAAAAATAAAAAGTATTTTTATGTTTTTGTATCAGCCTAATTCAAAAAAATGTTATGTTATAGAAATCAAATATCCTCTTATTTTTTATTTTTATTTATTTTAGGATCAAAACAGATATCAAAATAAAAAAATATTAATAAATATTATATATCATTATTATTTTATATGATAAGATGTATTGAAAAAATATATATATATATATATATAAAATATTAAATTTTTTTCATGTTAAACACTCGATAACCGATATGTATAGTTATTAGATTACTTTTAGACACAAGATGTCTCCCAATCGGATAACTCCGTTTGACATTCATGTAAGCAGATATTATCAGTAAATTTATCTATCTCTTCAATAAATTAATCACATAAAATCTTAATGAACTCAAGTCAAATTTGCTTTGCATACGAATGAATTTTTTGATTTATTAAGCTTAAAAGATGTCTTCGTTGACTTTTTTGGCATCCATGTTGTGTTCACGTAACCTCCTCATATCTAAGCTTTGATAGCCGACTGGTTCTATAAATTGAGATGTCATTTCCTCCGAATCGCCACACCTCATCTTTCTCCAATCGAATATGTCTGCTTCCGCCGTCCAATTTCTCATATTCTCCGTTTTTCTCTTTCTATCTCTGTCCTTTGCTCAGACGTCATTCCGGCCTGATGCACTGGTGGTTCCGGTTAGAAAAGACTCCGCCACCAACCAATATGTCACTCGCATCAACCAGAGGACTCCGTTAGTGGCGGAAAACCTGGTGGTCGATCTCGGCGGGCGGTTTTTATGGGTGGACTGTGATAATAACTATGTCTCCTCCACCTACCAGCCGGCTAGGTGTAGGTCGGCCCAATGCTCGTTAGCTGGAGCAAACGGATGTGGGGGACTGCTTCAGTTCGCCTAGACCAGGATGCAATAATAACACATGTGGTGTGACCCCTGACAACCCTATTACTAGGACAGCCACCGGTGGTGAGCTGGCCACAGACATAGTTCAGGTCCGGTCAACTGACGGGTCGAATCCTGGTCGACCCGTTAATGTTTCTCGGTTTTTGTTTTCTTGTGCACCAACTTTCTTGCTACAAGGACTTGCTAATGGTGTATCTGGAATGGCCGGTCTGGGTCGGACTCGGATTGGGCTTCCGACTCAGCTAGCTGCAGCTTTCAGCTTTGACCGAAAGTTCGCCACTTGTTTGTCATCATCGACTTCCTCGGACGGTGTTATTTTCTTCGGTGATGGACCATACAGATTCCTTCCAAATATCGATGCTTCACAATCACTTACGAGCACCCGACTTTTTATCAATCCAGTGAGCACGGCTTCATCGTCTACTCAAGGCGAGCCTTCAGCTGAATACTTTATAGGAGTGACTTCGATTAGAATCGACAATAAATCCATACCGTTGAACACTTCATTGTTGTCAATCGACAATGAAGGCAACGGCGGGACCAAGATCAGCACTGTGAATCCTTACACAGTGCTCGAGGCCTCAATCTATAATGCTCTAACTACAGCCTACGTCAGAGAGGCTGCAGCTAGAAACATCATCAGGGTCACATCCGTAGCACCATTCGACGTGTGTTTCAGCACGACGAACGTGCTAAGCACTCGTGTGGGACCTGCAGTCCCATCCATTGAGTTAGTCCTCGAGAATGAGAATGTTGTTTGGATGATCTCGGGATCAAACTCTATGGTGCAAGTTAATAATAACGTATTATGTCTTGGAATCGTGAATGGCGGATCAAACCCGAGGACTTCGGTTGTGATAGGAGGGTTACAACTGGAAAACAATCTTCTTCAATTCGATCTTGCTACTTCAAACCTAAGGTTCAGCTCGACTCTCTTGGGCAGGCAAACTACTTGTGCCAACTTCAACTTTACGTCTAGTGCTTAAAATGTATAATATTCATATTTACTTTGCAACGTGATTATGTTGTAAAGACATATACATATACAAATTGATAATGTTGAACGAATAAAATGAAAGAGATCAATAAAGTTATTTTATAATATTGTTAATTGGATATTTTTATGAGTTAAAAGTTCAGTAGATGATGAAAGACAACAACTTCCATTAGAGAATTTTAACTTCTAAGTGTTTGATGTCTGGTTTGGTAAGAGAAGGCGCGACTCGTTTTTTTTTTTTTTTTTTACTTATTTTTTATGCTAAATTTATTGTAAACTTATGTTCGAATGGTCATATTTACAAATGCCTTTTAGTTTTAATGTTGTACAATTGGTTGTGGATGACCACGCCAAACAAATCATAAGATCATCCCGATAAAACACTATTAATATTTTAGGCATGTTAATATTTAAACAGTATAACTACTTTATAGAATTAAAAGTTAATGACCACTTCATTTGACGACTTACTTTTTTTTTTTAACAGTTGCAAGTGTATATATATATATATATATATATAATATATATATATATATATATATATAGTTGAGATCGGTTGAGAACTCATAGTTTCACGAGAACCCGAGAACTAAAAGTTGAGCGTTAGATCAAAACTAATTTATTAAGGGCATGATCGTAATCTTATCAATCTTATTTAATGTTTAATTTTTTGTGTTATTGTAAATATTAATAGAAATGTCTAAAAAATTACATAATAAATCAAATTTTCGGATTTTTTTTAAAATAGTATTTTTCAGTTTTATTTTTAAAAAAGTGCAGATTTTTTAATTTTTTATAGAAAACATGAATTTTTGAAAAAATATTGAAAAAAAAATATTTTTTTTAAAAAAACTGCAATTTTTTTTAAAAGCATTTAAAAATCAATAAATTAAAAAAAACTGGAGTATTTAAAAAATACTATAATTTTTTAACCAAAAAAATCAACATTTTTTGGTACATTTATGATATTTTTACAATGCATATATGCAATAGTTCATATACTATAATATTTGTAAGGAAAAATCATAATAAAACTCATTTTATTTACTAATCTATAAACACAATACAATAAGTATTTTATTCGATACAATATAAAATATAAAAAACAAATAAATGCTACAAAATTTCAAAGCGTTTTCATGTCTTCGTGTAAATATTTCCATATTTTTCTTCAATTTATCATTTTTCACCTCTTCAATATTCACCACAATTTCTTCCAAATTTAGAAGAAAGTTAAAAAGAAATTGATTGATGCAAAAACACTCATAAAAATACATATGTGATTTACATGTGAATTACATGTAATTCATATGTGATTTACATGTAATTCATATGTGATTTACATGTGAATCACATGTAATTCATATGTGAATTACATGTGAAATTCATATGTGAATTACATGTGAATCACTTGTAATTCATATGTGAATCACATGTAATATATATGTGATTTACATGTGAATCACATGTAATTCATATGTGAGTTACATGTGATTTATATATGAATTACATGTGAATGTGATTCATATATAAATTATATGTGAATGTGATTCATATATGAATTACATGTGATTTACATGTGAATAAAATGTGATTTACATGTGAATCACATAGGATTCACATGTGATTTACATGTGAATCACATGTAATTCATATGTGAATTACATGTGTATCACATGTGATTTATATGTGAATCACATGTAATTCATATGTGTATCCCATAATGACTTAATGGATTAAGCCAAAAAAACATTCATTTATTCAAACAACACTTACTTTGGTCTTGGTTTCCATCACCTAAAGCATCAAGTCTTCTCATTAGTTCAGTAAATTCAAGCTTTTTCATGTACTCATGAACAAATGCATGTGAATTCTTCACAAAAACAAGCTCCAAATCATACTGCAATTTCAAAACAATTATCAAAGAAAAAATTAATTTTTTTAATTACAAAAAAATAAAAACATATACTTATTACCTCTTCTGCCTACGATTAAACACTTGAAATGGGACAATCCACTCTGCACAATCAACAATTTCCTGCAAAAAAAAGTTAATTTTTTTTTTATATTTTTTATCTTTCTACATAATTTAATCAAGAATTTATACCCTGGAAAATATGACACTTTATAATTTGGTTAAAACATAAATGTATTAAAGTGAAAAGTATATTAAAAAAAATACCTTACACCATCAGCTCTAGTAGTCCAACACTCCATATTTGTTGCCTTCTTGGATGAATCCAACTCAATGATCTATTTAACTTCATAATGTCATTCATAGTATATAAATATTAAATATTTTTAATATGTTATTAATTAAATTACCATTGACAAAAACTTCTGAACAGAAACACATGTACGTTTTACAACTTCAGGTAAAGCAATGGCAAGAGCTGTATGGGATTTTTCAGTTACTTCTGGTGATTCTGTTTCTGAAGGTGTTAAGACATTGCTAGAATCCATTTGATTTTGAAGAGATATGAACATATGAATTCTTGAAGGAAGGTGTTTCAGGTGAATAACTAATCAGTTTCTTTGATAAATTTTCCTTGTTTCTACCCGAGGCTAAAAACTGGTATTCAACGAGAGGTGAATCCACGTCATCACTTTTACTCTCTAAATAGATGTCACTTTCACCTACAGATTTCCTCTTTGCTTTCTTGATACTGGGTCTCATTGCAGAATTTGCAGCTCTTTTCTTTGCTTGAATGTAGTGATTTTCACATACTGTTTTATCTGGCATTGACATGACATCTCCATTGGTAAAACAAAGAGGATCCTCATCAATATCAATCATTATTCATAAAAAAGAAAAGCATAAGCATACTTGATTAGTTTGTACAAGGCTTGTAAACAGTGAGAATCAGATCATCAATAGACCATATACTTAAAAAAGAAATAGAAAATTACGATATAATTGAAAATTCGGAAACATTACCATTTTAGAATTAGGAATATTACTGAGAACAAAACAGAGAGCTACGACAGATGCTTTGTACTGGAGACGAACTTCATCAAGAGCTCTATCGTTGTCGAAGATAGTATCTGAAATGTTGATTCTGTTGATTTAGAATCATAACACGAGATTGAAATCGTGGAGCAGAAAACAATTGCAAACCCTAAGTTTTTGGAATTGACTGCAACTGAAATTGAAGAGGCGAGGGCGTGAGGCGACGACAAGTTGAGAGATTTTTCTGGCAGAGGTGAGACGAAGACAGTTCCACAATCAGATGGAGGCAGAGTCAGCCGACACCATCCGACGAAGTCAAAACGACACCGTTTGTAGAAAAATCGGTGGTGATTGAGGTCGGAGATGAGACGGAGATTGATCTTCGGTGAGGATGAGAGAATGTGAGGCGGAGAAGGAGGATTTGGCGTCGATTTTCTAGAGAGCGAAGGAGGTGGTCATCGGTTAGATTTTTGATCTCCATTTTGTCTTCCGATTTGAACCAGGAATAGATCTGGCGTGACATTGTTGATCAGAGACGGTATATTAGGTTGTCTCTAAAATGCTCCTGATTCATGTGAAATAAGATGCCCCGCCTCTTTTTTTCCCTAGTTATTTACAAAAATGCCATAAATCATCATAACCTTCAATTATTTTGATCTAACGGCCTATGTTTGGTTCTCGGGAAAGTTTGAGTTCTCAAATGATCCTTCCTCTCTCTCTCTCTCTCTAATATATATATATATATATAATATATATATATATATAATATATACACTATAATAAATGAAGATAATTTTGCCACATGCCAATCTCTAATAAGTTTTGACATTTGTCATTTTGTGATATTTTTTAAATAAATAATATCCACATGTCAATTTATGGTTTTTTTCAATTTTTAAAATTAAAAAGTCACATAATACTTATATTTATATATGTAAAGTATCAAATGTAATAAATATTATACTAAGTTGCAATTACTATGTTTCTTCATTCCTTATTTCAAAATTTTATTTTAAAAAATACGTATTATTTACATTTTAATATTTTATTTTCTTTAATCAATCCTTTTCTTTAATCAACTCGTGTAATACACGGGTTTTACACATAGTGTGTATATATATATATATATATTACATTAAAAATTGCTGAATTTTTTCGATTTGATATTATTTCTTTTTAATAAACTCGTGTAATACACGGGTCTCACACCTAGTATATATATATAATATATATATATATATATATATATATATATATATATATATAGTATATATAGATATATATATATATATATATATATTTCATTTGCGTTTTTATCCCTTAATAGTAACATATTTTCATTTGTATCACATAATAGCATCATACTTTCATTTTCATCCCATGATAGCACAACTTAAAAACCATCATGCCCTTTTAAAAAATTTACCATTATGCCCTTGCACCGTTAACATATGAAAATTAATAGTTTTAACATATCTAGGAACATAATTCTATTTTTCAACAAAATAAAAACTTACTTATATTTATGAATGGACACGACATCATATTTGCATATCCCTTAATAGCATCATACTTTCATTTGTATCACATAATTGCATCATACATTCATTTTCATCTCATAATAGCATCCATACATTTACTTTTTATCATATAATAGCATCATAATTTCGTTTTTATACCATAAT